CCCCACCCATCCCACTTCTTCCCTAGGCCAGGACCTGTTCTCCTGCTCCACCCACCCAGTAACCTACCCATCCATCCATCCATCTGTGCATGTATTCATCCATTCACCCTACTTCCCTAGGCTAGAGCCTGCTCTCCTGGCTCCATCCACCCACCTACCCATCCACCCACTCATCCATCCATCCATCCAAACATCCATTCATACATTCACGCATCCAGTCAACCAACCAACCAAACAAACATGCATTCACCCACCCATCCATCCATCGATCCATCTACCCAATCAAGCACACATCCATCTATCTAAATACCAACAACTATTCTTTGAACATCTCTTGTGTACCAGGCACTGTTTTAGGTTGGAGGGAACACGGTGGAGAATAAAAGAAAGTCCCTTTGCCCACAAAGCAGACCCTGTGAGGCAGCAATGAAGTCATCGCATGCTATCTTAGCTGGTAAAAGGACTATGGGCCCACCCTGTGAGAGGGGGGGGAGGGGGCCAAGGTCGGGGTGCAGGTTTGGTCAGGGCCTGAGAAGGTAGCTCCTCAGCAGAGACATGATGGGGGTAACAGAGAGGGCTACCCAGACACTGTGGAAGGACAGAGGCCACGGCTCGTGCAAAGGCCTGCGGCAGGGATGCTTCTTGTGTCTGGTGGAGAAGCAGCTGGCTGGAGCAGGTTGAGGAGGTGGTCTCAGAGGCTGGGGCGGAGTGAAGCATCAATGAGATGGGGGCGTGTTGTGGTCTCAGCCTCCACAGGCTCAACCACCCTCAACTCCAAGAGTAGCCCTGGTGGACCCCCCAAGAAATCCCCTTCCTTGCAAGCAGCCCCACCCCTTGCCTCCGCCAACCAAGCCCAGTCACTTGGCTGCCCTGGCTCTTCCTCTCTGGACCAAATGTCCCCTACCCATGCCTCGGCCCCAGTGTCCAGAACCATCCCATCCATTTGCCCCACCAGCTGGAACCTTCCAGGGTCTTCGCCTCTTGAGAAGCCAATTTGATGCCCAGTCCCCAAGAGCAGCTGGTCAGCCCCTGGCTCCAGGGGCCAAACTGTCCCATGTGGCTGACACTGAGCCTGTCTTTACCCCAGAGTTCTCCACAATGGCCCAGGGCCTCTTCCCTGCCCATCAGAAGGCCTGCTTCCCCCACCACCCAAGGAGTGATGGAGACCAGGAGCCAAAGGGCTAGACATCTGGGGGGTGGGGCGGGGCCTCTGGGGTCTCATTCCTGATCACTGTGAAACCAGACTGTTAGCATCAGGGAAGGGGTGTCACGGCACACCACTCCTCGGGGGCCTGGGCACATGTGTCAGGGGAGCCCCGCTCCCTGGTGGGCTCCCTGGTGCTGCCTGTCCCCTCTCACCACGCCAGAGCTTCTCTTTCCCAAGACACCTATGTCTGGGGTCCGTCTGTCTGCCCACTGGTGAAAGCCCTGTCCACCCTCTCCTTGACTGGCCTGTGCCCACAGGTGTAATCCCTTTACTGGGTCTCGCCATAGACCACACATTGTCCCCACCACACCCCTAGGCTCACCTCCTCTGGTCTGCCGGCTCATCCTCCTCCGTGGGCCCAGCCATGACTGGTTATCTGGTCCCCTTCTTCCTTCTGCTCAGATTTCATCTCCCAGCATCCCAGGGTGCTTGAGGCCCCAGGAGCCAGGGCCCCTCAATGGGCCTGACTCCTGGCAGCAGCCCAAAACATTCCGTCTGGCCCTCCCCTGGGCAGCAGACAGCGTCTGCCCAGCACCATCCTGTGAGGTCTCATCTAACCCCAACAACTGGTGGCAGCCA